TAAAACCTGTTTGAAACTATTCTGATAACAAATTGAAAGCATTTTAGAATACTATAAATGTTTTGTTTAGTAGTTAAGCATTCCAACATTCAAGATTATACAAAGTATCCAATCCTGCCTGTGTCTCCAGTCCACATCTTACTGTATGCCAATTTGTCAATGAAAGTTCACAATTTCTGCCTCAAATGGTCAGTTTAGAATTCTTGTCACAACAGTATCATCCCTAACCATATATCTAACATAAGTTAGTTAATATATGTCCTAGAAGTGTTTAAACAAAGGCATATTTGCAAAAGTTGTATTTATGAAGATATCAGTCTGGTGCATAAATTCACTAAAAGTTTGATTGAAATGACTGCTTACATCTGATTTTTCATAACTTCCTAGCACAGTTATTGTTTACTTTATAAAAGACCTTTAAAATAAAAAAATCATAGCATTTACAAGTTAAATTATCTGTTTTATGACTCAGGGGTAGGCATTTTCCTCTGTTTTTTGCCCCTGGGGCCTCACATTTCCTAATTTTTTTCCCTGTTTCTAGCAATGTGAAATATTTACTACATATTTAGGATAGAACACACTATTGTAAGTTTTACTGAGGTCTTTTTGTAATTCTAGCTTGTACTTTTTTATGCCACAGTCACAAAAAAGCACATTTAGGCGTTACGGCTCACTTTTGGGTTATCGACAGGACAAAAACACCCCACCAGAAATATTTAGGAAGGATCAATGAGTTGCAATTACTGTGAAGAGTAAATATAAGCACTTCTAAACAATTTAAATTACAAATAGGCATATATTATGAATTTATTTTGAATTCAGGGCTTTAAGTAAACCATGCATACTGTAAACTGTGAATTTATGCTGAGTCATCATAGTTAAGGCCCAGGATTTTCTCAATCTTCATGAAATATTTATAAAACTTCATATTTGAGTTAAATTCTTTAAAATCTCTGAGATAAACCAGATTTTGTGAAATTCTGTATGTTCTATTTTTTAACCCTATATAGGTTGCAATTCTGTAAATACAGACAATGCAATTTCCCATAGGAACTCCCTTTGCGGCTAAAACTGTGACACTTTTACTATGAAGTTTCGTGAAAAATAATATCCCAGAACGGAAAGTTTATATGCACTACTATTTTATTCAAAGGTCAAAATATAGGGCTGTGCGGCATATTTTCAACATTTATATGCCCTGAACTTCTAAGAGTTTAAACTTATACTAAAATTCTATACTACCCTTACCTCCATTTTTGGACCTCCTAAGAATTAAAATTTAGCCGCTACCATGTTTATCTATACTGGTTACATTCCCAAGTGATGTCTCTATGAGATGAAACACAGAGATCATCAATGGGAACCAGTACGTTAACAAATTAACATACCTATGAATATAAAATATCTCCCCAAAAGAGGCGTGGTTTGAGAAACAGCTGTATTTACAAAGTGCAACCTATACAAACATTTATTCAAATAGAAAACTCTCTAAAAACACTTTTTCTCACAACAATACTTATTTATCAGAATTATAGCCTTAAAGAAATCACTGCATATACTCTAAGTCTCCTTTTACAGTACATTTTATACCCCTACCCCTGTTTCAATTTTTTAAAGATTTTGAAAACAAGACTCTAATTATTGCCAGCTTACCCTATGTGCATGTTTTCTGACATGAACTGTCTAAAACCTGTTTGAAACTATTCTGATAACAAATTGAAAGCATTTTAGAATACTATAAATGTTTTGTTTAGTAGTTAAGCATTCCAACATTCAAGATTATACAAAGTATCCAATCCTGCCTGTGTCTCCAGTCCACATCTTACTGTATGCCAATTTGTCAATGAAAGTTCACAATTTCTGCCTCAAATGGTCAGTTTAGAATTCTTGTCACAACAGTATCATCCCTAACCATATATCTAACATAAGTTAGTTAATATATGTCCTAGAAGTGTTTAAACAAAGGCATATTTGCAAAAGTTGTATTTATGAAGATATCAGTCTGGTGCATAAATTCACTAAAAGTTTGATTGAAATGACTGCTTACATCTGATTTTTCATAACTTCCTAGCACAGTTATTGTTTACTTTATAAAAGACCTTTAAAATAAAAAAATCATAGCATTTACAAGTTAAATTATCTGTTTTATGACTCAGGGGTAGGCATTTTCCTCTGTTTTTTGCCCCTGGGGCCTCACATTTCCTAATTTTTTTCCCTGTTTCTAGCAATGTGAAATATTTACTACATATTTAGGATAGAACACACTATTGTAAGTTTTACTGAGGTCTTTTTGTAATTCTAGCTTGTACTTTTTTATGCCACAGTCACAAAAAAGCACATTTAGGCGTTACGGCTTACTTTTGGGTTATCGACAGGACAAAAACACCCCACCAGAAATATTTAGGAAGGATCAATGAGTTGCAATTACTGTGAAGAGTAAATATAAGCACTTCTAAACAATTTAAATTACAAATAGGCATATATTATGAATTTATTTTGAATTCAGGGCTTTAAGTAAACCATGCATACTGTAAACTGTGAATTTATGCTGAGTCATCATAGTTAAGGCCCAGGATTTTCTCAATCTTCATGAAATATTTATAAAACTTCATATTTGAGTTAAATTCTTTAAAATCTCTGAGATAAACCAGATTTTGTGAAATTCTGTATGTTCTATTTTTTAACCCTATATAGGTTGCAATTCTGTAAATACAGACAATGCAATTTCCCATAGGAACTCCCTTTGCGGCTAAAACTGTGACACTTTTACTATGAAGTTTCGTGAAAAATAATATCCCAGAACGGAAAGTTTATATGCACTACTATTTTATTCAAAGGTCAAAATATAGGGCTGTGCGGCATATTTTCAACATTTATATGCCCTGAACTTCTAAGAGTTTAAACTTATACTAAAATTCTATACTACCCTTACCTCCATTTTTGGACCTCCTAAGAATTAAAATTTAGCCGCTACCATGTTTATCTATACTGGTTACATTCCCAAGTGATGTCTCTATGAGATGAAACACAGAGATCATCAATGGGAACCAGTACGTTAACAAATTAACATACCTATGAATATAAAATATCTCCCCAAAAGAGGCGTGGTTTGAGAAACAGCTGTATTTACAAAGTGCAACCTATACAAACATTTATTCAAATAGAAAACTCTCTAAAAACACTTTTTCTCACAACAATACTTATTTATCAGAATTATAGCCTTAAAGAAATCACTGCATATACTCTAAGTCTCCTTTTACAGTACATTTTATACCCCTACCCCTGTTTCAATTTTTTAAAGATTTTGAAAACAAGACTCTAATTATTGCCAGCTTACCCTATGTGCATGTTTTCTGACATGAACTGTCTAAAACCTGTTTGAAACTATTCTGATAACAAATTGAAAGCATTTTAGAATACTATAAATGTTTTGTTTAGTAGTTAAGCATTCCAACATTCAAGATTATACAAAGTATCCAATCCTGCCTGTGTCTCCAGTCCACATCTTACTGTATGCCAATTTGTCAATGAAAGTTCACAATTTCTGCCTCAAATGGTCAGTTTAGAATTCTTGTCACAACAGTATCATCCCTAACCATATATCTAACATAAGTTAGTTAATATATGTCCTAGAAGTGTTTAAACAAAGGCATATTTGCAAAAGTTGTATTTATGAAGATATCAGTCTGGTGCATAAATTCACTAAAAGTTTGATTGAAATGACTGCTTACATCTGATTTTTCATAACTTCCTAGCACAGTTATTGTTTACTTTATAAAAGACCTTTAAAATAAAAAAATCATAGCATTTACAAGTTAAATTATCTGTTTTATGACTCAGGGGTAGGCATTTTCCTCTGTTTTTTGCCCCTGGGGCCTCACATTTCCTAATTTTTTTCCCTGTTTCTAGCAATGTGAAATATTTACTACATATTTAGGATAGAACACACTATTGTAAGTTTTACTGAGGTCTTTTTGTAATTCTAGCTTGTACTTTTTTATGCCACAGTCACAAAAAAGCACATTTAGGCGTTACGGCTTACTTTTGGGTTATCGACAGGACAAAAACACCCCACCAGAAATATTTAGGAAGGATCAATGAGTTGCAATTACTGTGAAGAGTAAATATAAGCACTTCTAAACAATTTAAATTACAAATAGGCATATATTATGAATTTATTTTGAATTCAGGGCTTTAAGTAAACCATGCATACTGTAAACTGTGAATTTATGCTGAGTCATCATAGTTAAGGCCCAGGATTTTCTCAATCTTCATGAAATATTTATAAAACTTCATATTTGAGTTAAATTCTTTAAAATCTCTGAGATAAACCAGATTTTGTGAAATTCTGTATGTTCTATTTTTTAACCCTATATAGGTTGCAATTCTGTAAATACAGACAATGCAATTTCCCATAGGAACTCCCTTTGCGGCTAAAACTGTGACACTTTTACTATGAAGTTTCGTGAAAAATAATATCCCAGAACGGAAAGTTTATATGCACTACTATTTTATTCAAAGGTCAAAATATAGGGCTGTGCGGCATATTTTCAACATTTATATGCCCTGAACTTCTAAGAGTTTAAACTTATACTAAAATTCTATACTACCCTTACCTCCATTTTTGGACCTCCTAAGAATTAAAATTTAGCCGCTACCATGTTTATCTATACTGGTTACATTCCCAAGTGATGTCTCTATGAGATGAAACACAGAGATCATCAATGGGAACCAGTACGTTAACAAATTAACATACCTATGAATATAAAATATCTCCCCAAAAGAGGCGTGGTTTGAGAAACAGCTGTATTTACAAAGTGCAACCTATACAAACATTTATTCAAATAGAAAACTCTCTAAAAACACTTTTTCTCACAACAATACTTATTTATCAGAATTATAGCCTTAAAGAAATCACTGCATATATGAATCAGGTGACCAATCAGGAGGCTTCAATTTGAGTCTGCGCAATTGGGCTACCGGAATTAGATTTAAACAAAATGAATGTAAACAACGCGCTTCAGGTTATCGAGACAAAATATTCATTTGAATTCAAAGAAAAGCAGATAGAAGCTATAAATTCAATTGTAAATGGAAAGGACACCTTTATTGTTCTTCCGACAGGCTACGGAAAGACCAAAATATACTCTCACTTGCCAGAGATATACGGACTTCTTAACAACATGATGGGAACGATTTTAGTAATATCACCATTGCAATCCTTGATGTTAGACCAGGTTGCAAAGATGTCAGCAATCGGAATTGATGCGACGATTGTAGGAGAGTGTCAGCCTGATAAAAGTGTTGCAACACAGATTCTGAAGGGTGACTTTGGAATTGTTTTTTCCTCTCCTGAAGCTGCACTGACCCCTGGTATGTGGAGAAAGTGCTTCACAAGTGGTGTATTTCGTGACAACTTGAAAGCTGTAGTTATTGATGAAGCCCATTGTATTACTGAATGGTATGTATTGTTTTGTATGTTATGATATCAGTTTAAAAGAGAAGTAATTATTATATCTTTTCAAAAACTAACTTAATAATAGTATCATTTGAAAGTTGGACCTCACTATTTATATCAAAATTGATTGTGTGTGTTGGTTTGAGTATTTTTGTAAGTGTTTTGTTGTGGAACATACAAATTTAACTTGACAGTCACATTTAAAACCTGGAATAAATGTTAAATATATTTATTAAGAATAAAAGGAGACATGGGGATACAAGTCTGACAGTCACAGAAAATCAAACAACAGAATAGAATAAAGAATAGAACATTTTTATTTCCCAAATCAGTTACAATTGATTGACATAATTAATTATTACAACAACTCTTAACATTAGACAGTTAGACAAGTGTTTTTAAACTTAATATGTGAAGATCAAGTTTTCTAAAGAAATAGAATAATTGTTAATCAAATAGCTTATTAATTACTTTTTTTTGGCTGTTCTTATTGTAGTGTATACATGTACCACGCAATATACTGAATTAAACTGTATGCTAATGTATGCTTTATTTTTTAGGGGTGGTGAATTTCGTCAGGAGTACAGCAGATTAGGAGAACTTCGCTCTATTTGTCCAGATGATGTGACATTTGTTGCATTAACAGCAACAGCCACCAAAAGCATCAGAACACAGATATTAAAAAAGTTGGACATGATTGAAAAAGAAGTAACCACAGTATATCAATTACCAGACAGACAAAACATCATGTACACAGTTAAGAAATCTAGAAACAATTTCATTGAACTACAATGGTTATTAGATGATATTGTAAAGAACAAGTTTAATGCAAAGAAAACGGTTGTGTATTGCCGAAATATTGCCACATGTGCAAATTTGTACGAACATTTCAGCATGAACATTAATCAGTGTGATAATATAACTGAAAGACTTGTTGCGATGTACCACAGATCAACTGCAAAATTAAACAAAGACCATGTTTTAGAGGAATTTCCCAAAAACAACAGTAAACTCAGATTAGTTTTTGCAACTGTGGCGTTTGGTATGGGAGTTGACATCCCAGATATAGACTATGTGGTTCACTGGGGAGCCCCACGTGGCCTTGAACAGTTTGCCCAGGAGTGTGGACGTGCAGGAAGAGATGGTCGCCAGAGTCAGTCCATAGTTTATTTTACAGGGCATGATATTGCCAAAGACAGATCCAGTCCTGAAATGAGAGATTTCTGCAAATCCACATCTTGTTTGCGACATGCAATGAACAGTCATTTTAAGCTTGACACTTGCTCTGATTCTGATTCTACTGACAAACCAAACTCAGACTTGTGTCGTTGTTGCTGTGTATGTTTCAATTCGTGCAAATGTGGAGGTTGTGTTCCCCTAGAGTGCATTATGGACTTTGCATCTGAGATGCCCCCGTCTGATGTATATGACAATTCAGTAAGAAATCTTGATGAATGTAAATTGAAACTGTTAAAAGCAAACTTGATGGACTTCCAAGAATGTCTCATTGAAGAAAATAGTGAAGATGTTAACGCCTTTGATGCTTCATTAATTGAATGTATTGTGACAAATTGTAACTATCTGTTATGTGAAGATGACATTATTGACCTAGGGCTGCTGAACAATGAACTTTCAAAAGAAATTTTCTTGCTCATTGAGGAAGTATGTTGATAAATTGAACTGTGTATGTACAAAAATGTACATTTATGTCAATGTGGTTTTATGCAGTATCATAACATCTTTGTTTTCATTATTTTTGTACATGTACTTTTGAACTGTACAGCAATCAGAATAAGTTGTCTATTACTGGCTATAATTAATAGTTTTAATTGTCATTTGCAAGATATAGTCTTCAACCTTCCCAATATGGCAATAAACCTTACTAGAAACCTATACATGTATATAGCTATAGCTAATATCTGTTTTTATTTAGTAAAATGTAAAATTGACATATTTTATGAAGGAAAATTTTTGAAATGATTATTATTAATAGCAATAAAAAAGCATATGCTTTTATTTTACAATTTTTGTCGAGCCTGCGACTTTTGTCGCAGAAAGCTCGACATAGGGATAGCGATCCGGCGGCGGCGGCGGCGGCGTTAGCTAACTTCTTAAAAGCTTTATATTTTAGAAGGTGGAAGACCTGGATGCTTCTTACTTTGTATATGGATGCCTCATGTTACAAAGTTTCCGTCAGTCACATGTCCAATTTCCTTGACCTCATTTTCATGGTTCAGTGACTACTTGAAAAAAAAGTTCAGATTATTTGTAATGTTAAATTCTCTCTTATTATAAGTAATAGGATAACTATATTTAGTATGTGCGTACCTTGCAAGGTCCTCATGCCTGTCAGACAGTTTTCACTTGACCTCGACCTCATTTCATGGATCAGTGAACAAGGTTAAGTTTTGGTGGTCAAGTCCATATCTCAGATACTATAAGCAATAGGTCTAGTATATTTGGTGTATGGAAGGACTGTAAGGTGTACATGTCCAACTGGCAGGTGTCATCTGACCTTGACCTCATTTTCATGGTTCAGTGGTTATAGTTAAGTTTTTGTGTTTTGGTCTGTTTTTCTTATACTGTATGCAATAGGTCTATTATATTTGGTGTATGGAATGATTGTAAGGTGTACATGTCCAACTGGCAGGTGTCATCTGACCTTGACCTCATTTTCATGGTTCAGTGGTTATAGTTAAGTTTTTGTGTTTTGGTCTGTTTTTCTTATACTGTATGCAATAGGTCTATTATATTTGGTGTATGGAATGATTGTAAGGTGTACATGTCCAACTGGCAGGTGTCATCTGACCTTGACCTCATTTTCATGGTTCAGTGGTTATAGTTAAGTTTTTGTGTTTTGGTCCGTTTTTCTTATACTTTATCCAATAGGTCTACTATATTTGGTGTATGGAATGATTGTAAGGTGTACATGTCCAACTGGCAGGTGTCATCTGACCTTGACCTCATTTTCATGGTTCAGTGGTTATAGTTAAGTTTTTGTGTTTTGGTCCGTTTTTCTTATACTTTATCCAATAGGTCTACTATATTTGGTGTATGGAATGATTGTAAGGTGTACATGTCCAACTGGCAGGTGTCATCTGACTTTGACCTCATTTTCATGGTTCAGTGGTCAAAGTTAAGTTTTTGAGTTTTGGTCTTTTTTCTTATACTATTATGCAATAAGTCAACTATATTTGGTTTATGGAAATATTCTATGATGTACATGTCAGTCTCGCAGGTTTTATTTGACCTTGACCTCATTTTCACAGTTCATTGCTCAGTGTTAAGTTTATGTGTTTCAGTCTGTTTTTCTTAAACTATAAGCAATAGGTCAGCTATATTTGTTGTATGGAAGGATTGTAAGCTGTTCATGTCTGCCTGGCATGGTTCATCTGACTTTGACCTCATTTTCACGATTCATTGGTCAATGTTTAGTTTTCTTGGTTAAGTCTGTTTCTTGGAAACTATAAGCAATAGGTCAACTATATTTAGTGTATTGAATGATTGTAAGGTGTACATGTATTTCTTGTTTGGTTTATATGACCTTGACTTCATTTTCTTGGATCATGTTAAGTTTATGTAATAGTTGTAGTAAAGCTTTCATTTAGGACTATCAACATAATATCAATGGTTAGTAAAGAAGGCGAGACATTTTAGCGTGTCCACTCTTGTTAGTTTTATTTTCAAGAAATAAAAGTCTGGGTTGATAAAAGGAATTTTATGTGTAAAAAAAGTGATGACCTGTTAATGTACAAGTTTTTGTGAGTTTGAAGTGTTTGTAAATGTATATGTGTATATATATAAATTATGAAAGATGTACCCTGGAGGCATAATGCACAAGGTATTTAAATTAAAATATTAATCTTGAATCTCATAGTTTTTGTTCAAAACTTTTAACCCTGTTTGGTAGTATCCTAGACAATTATGTTTCACACAGGTCAGGCGGTCAGGGTCTAGAATCCTTTTTGGGTACATTATTCTACATAATATCAGAAACAATATAGACTTTATTTCAAGGTGAATTCATTGGTTATGCCTTTTCGTAAGGTCTTCTTTAAAACTTCTACGTCCATTGGTCTCTGGCGGAGATTTGTCTCCATGGAAATCATTACACATCTTATTTTTATATATTTAACAGGTATGCTTAAAATTATTCAACAGAAAAACATGATCTTCAACAGCATAGCATGCACCAGCAACTTTGTTCATGTTATTTTAGGGAGAGACAACCCATGTCTAGAAACCGAAAAAGGACAAGGATGAATGAAAGACTGCCAAATAATAAAATTTGTGCAACAGGTCAAAACTAAAACAAATAGCTTTACTTTATTTCCAAGTCAGGAGCCTTTAGTTCAGTGATTGTCGTTGGTTCATGTCTGTCATCTGTTTTTCATAAAATTTTTGTTATAAATTATGTTTTGAATTTCTCAATTGAATTGTCTCATTTTTTTTAAGGTCTTGGTCTTTTAAAGCCCACTACACTGTATGAGTTTTTCCTCATTGTTGAAGGCTGTATAGTTGCCCGAAATTGCTTACATGTACATCTACTTAATTTGAATTTTTGTGGATAGTTGTCTCAATGGCAATCATACCACATCTCCTTATTTTTAAACATACAGCTTATGAATAGTTTCAACTACAAAATGAAGAAAAAGAATAAAGCAATATACATGATGAAATATTTTTTATTTTCATGATTCTGGATAACTGGGCAAAACAAATAGATAATATTTACATACATGCATGGACGGTATCAGATTATGAACATATAATAATACAACATTTATAATATATCATGCATTAATTAATGATGATCTTATGCTGGCTTTACTTATTACTATCAAAAAATTATATAGTTGAACAATCAACCAGAAGAAAACGCTACAGTTCAAATTCGTATCTAACAGAAACTGAACCACCATTGCACTATACACATAAAAAGATAGACGGCAAACAAAATTATTAACAACTTTTCTTACATTGCAAAACCTCATATTACCTTCAAACAAATTCAGAACTCCTGTTTATTAAAACAAAAAGATAAATCAATATTGCATTGCACTTACTAATTTTAATACTAAAACAAAATCACAAATCACAATATTGATGTTCACTATACTCATTTATACAATAACAAAAAACAATTATCAATATTGCATTGCACCAAGTCATGATCACTTGAAACAAAATCAAGAATATTAATCACAATATTGATTTGCACTAACTCATTTCAACACTTAACAAAATCAATAATCACAATATAGATTTGCACTAACTAATTTTAACACTAAACAAAAATATTAACCAATATTGCATTTCGCTTACTCATCTTAACACTTAAAAAATTCAAATAATAACAATATAGTATTGATATGCACTAACTCATGCTTACTTTAGATCAATATTGCATTTCACTAAATCATGTTGACATAAAAAAACAAAGAATCACTGTATTGCATTGCACTAACTCATTTTTGCTGTAATAAAAAACAATGATCAATATTGCATTGCACCAAGTCATGATCACTTGAAACAAAATCCAGAATCACAATATTGCATTGCACTAACTCATTTCATCACAAAAAAAATTCAAGTAATCACAATATTTATTTGCACTGACTCCTATTAACATATAACAAAACCCAAGAAATCACAATAATGCATTGCACTAACTCATTTCATCACAAAAAAAATTCAAGTAATCACAATATTTATTTGCACTGACTCATGTTAACATATAACAAAACCCAAGAAATCACAATAATGCATTGCACTAACTCATTTCATCACAAAAAAAATTCAAGTAATCACAATATTTATTTGCACTGACTCATGTTAACATATAACAAAACCCAAGAAATCACAATAATGCATTGCACTAACTCATTTCATCACAAAAAAAATTCAAGTAATCACAATATTTATTTGCACTGACTCATATTAACATATAACAAAACCCAAGAAATCACAATAATGCATTGCACTAACTCATTTCATCACAAAAAAAATTCAAGTAATCACAATATTTATTTGCACTAACTCATGTTAACATATAACAAAACCCAAAAAATCACAACTATTGCACTAGGGAAAAGTCCTGGTTCAGTTTAAACAGTATAAGACCTTGTTCTCTGAATGATGGCATACTGCTCCTTCTTTCCAGTCAACCACTTATACAACTTGTTTCCATTCAACTTGCCTAAAGTTTCAAATTCAATGTTGTCAAACGAGCGAAAGTAGCGACCAGGATTTCTGTCAAACAGATTTTCGTCTTTCAACTGGTTAACAAACATATCAATGTCCTTCTTAAGTGATGGCTTCCAGTTGGATGGTTTTCCAAAGTACTGGTCTAGTCCTTTAGAATAGCAATCTAAGATGTGGTTGCATCCCTGCAAACTACGACCAATACGTTGAATAGACGATGATGTCATATTTCCGTGCAAAGAGTCTAGTGCATCTTTAGCACGCATATTCATGAACTCCAGGGCTTGGTCACCAGGAACGTTTCCACCTTGAGTACCATGAATACTAACAGATCTATTGTGCTTCATCTCAAAAGCTAGTCTTGGAGGAAGTAGGGCCATTAGTTGTGCCTGCAGTTTGAAAGCTAGCTGACAGTACTTTGTATGATTTGTCATGGAAAATTTTAGCATGTCAAACCTCCACATTCTTATAAGGCGATCTCCATCGTTCTCCTTGGAAGCATCGTCTCGATTCCAGTCCATCAAGCCCTCTCTTAAAACATTACAGGCATAATTGAACTTAAAATCCTCCTTTTTTGAGCTGGAGTTTGTGGTATCTGAATTACTGGAACTTGTGTTGCCAGCAGGAATTCCTTCGGACAGATGTTGAAAATGTTTATACTGGCAGGTATCTCTGTGCTTTTGTCGGCACCTTCCATCTATGGCAAATGTTTTTGGACAGCCAGGGTATCCACATTTTATTCTGTTGTCATTTTCCTGCTGATCTTTTCCAAGCTGATCAAACTTAAACTCTTTGGTTGCAACAAACTGGGTAACAATGTCATTGGCAAGCTTATCCAGAAAAGATTTCTTTTCTATATCGTCTTTTCCAACTTTCCTCTCAAAGTCATCTAATGATGTTAGCCCAAGAATCTGCATTGCTGCTAACAGAATGTGACCTTTGGTTACAAACCTTAAAAACTCACGGCAATCATTGACCGCATTCTTCACCTACAAATAATAAAAAAAAAAATAAAATGATGCAATGATTGTTATTTCAGATATATTGTTTAGTGAAGAATAGCTATATACATGTACATGAAGATACAGTGCTTTTTAGGAGGAAAATTAAGAGTGACCCATTTCTTGAAATATGCATGAAATATTTGCCGTCATTAAGCAATAATCTAGACTGTTAAGAAAGGCTGTATGATACCTTCCTTTTGATTTTTTTTTGTCACCATATATATGTTGTAGGAGTGTTTTAAAGTACTCTCTCAAGCATTCTCACTTTTTTTCTGTTATTTCTGTCAGTTGCATAGCAAAACTTTATTTCTTAAAGCATGCCAATTAGTCGATATTCCATTATATTCAGGCACATTGCAGTACTTCAGAGCTCCAGATAAGAATTCACAAATTGGGGTTTTTACCCACCATTTTTTTATGTAATTGAGTGATAAAGTTTTTTAATTGCATTATGAATTCCAGTTCACCCCTCAAGCAAATATCAAATTGGGTTTTTCACCACCAAGCTCCTTAATGTATTTGGTTTTTTCATAAACACAATATGGAATATTTAGGCATTTTATAATCAACCCCAGATGTGTTTCCATCTTAAATGTGTTTCTTTCTTTGTAGAATATGTGCTAGCTGTTTTATTTGGTTTATTCACTGACGAGCAATTGTACATTTAATTTGTGTCCCGTTTCAAACGTTCTGTCAGTTTTGTATTTTCTCAAAACTTATGTAAACTGCAGCTGGTGTCACTAGTTGGACAGGAACTAATTGTCTTTCTAGATCCCATATGATCACCCTATAGTTTAATTATAGTTGGAATAGGTGTGGCTAAGTGTTCAGATTTTTGTGTAATATATGTGAAATTTAGGTGCTGTAAGAAAGTTTTGCCAGTCCTTTCACCTATTTGCCAGATCTACTTTTTAATAAAAATAAAACGTAGTTTCCAGATTTAAGATATACCTCAAAACCTTGAGGTTTATAGGGTGGTTTATAATGACGGAGACCACATTCAACTTAAATTTACAAATAATTCTGCAACATCAAGTAAATAAATGACAATGTTATACTGCACTTGCCAATAAGACAACTATCTAGAACAATTAGACCAAAACAAAGAAAGTGTCAAGCTGCATTGACGTAAAAAACGGATATGTGTATTCACTCATCAACTAAAATGAAAAAAAAAATATATAAACTGGTTTCGTTTAATTCAATTTACATAAATCTGGGTTAAGTTGTCCCTTATCAGAACTTTTGGTTTCCGATGCTTTCAAACTACATATCATGTCATAATTGATTTGGCCTTTCACTTTTTCCAACTGATTTCGTTTTTGACGGAACCCCGTGTTTATCGCTCTAGCAATGTTCTCGTTATGGAACGCAAACACGCCCGTGCGTTCAATGGCCGCTTCCTAAAATCACTAGCTTAGTCTTGTTATCATCATAACTTTCCCTCAGCAATCAAAAATTAAGAAGCCGAAAACATGCTTCTATTCAATATTTTTACCGGACATTTACTTTCATTTTAATTCATTGTATGTTATGATAAATCCCGAGCAATTCGAAAAAATATGACAGCATGTCACACGCTAATTGGATAAACGCAGAGAAGATCGAAATGTTTTCATAGACACGTGTACATTTTGAGCAACGGAAAATTCCAACAGGGACCCATTACAGCTACTTGATGCAGGGCTCTATTTTTAGAACGAAAGGACATTTCCAATTATAAATATTATAAAAATAGATTTACGCGACGACTGTAATCAAGTAAGGGTAAATAACGCAAACGATAGCGAATAAAAGCGTTAAGAACCCATGTTTTTGGCATATAATTGAGTTTTCCTTTGAATTAATTGGGCTATTGAACCCTGCAATGGGCAATTGCATTGGGTTTTTAATTATTTTTATTGCGTGATCACGCAAATACGCAGCTTATCTGGAGCTCTGGTTACACTTTGTATGTCATGGTATTGATAAAGAAAACTACAGAATGTGAAAATTTTCTTTTAAGTAATTTCACATTGGCAAAAATGAATATGGACTAACTATTTGTGATTGGATATTAAGCAGATATCAATCATTCAGGTTTATCAACAGAATTAAAAATTATGACACACTGATTAATTGGTGTACAAACCTCTGAATTAACGCCACGTCTGTCGAACTGATTCCTCAGCTGAAACAGAGTTCCCTTTTCACCTGATGAAGATCCTTTATACAAAAGGTTGTATGATTCCTGAAAAAGAATAATCATGTCATATTGCAAGTTTCTGAAAAAACCAAACACATGTATATAACTTGTTTTACTTTATTATGTAAAATATCTCTTAAATAATTAAATGGTATTTCATACATGTACCTATTATTTAGCAATTACAATACACTGCCTTTTTATTAAGTTCATAAATGTAGATGGAAATTACAATTAAAACATAAAAAATTTTCTTGTTGAAAGCACATCTCTTTACGTTTTTATTATTAATGTCATGAAATTTTCAAATACTTGTAATACAATTTCATAGTTTTACATGCACCCACCTGTAAAGATATAACATGCCCGTGCCAATCCTCACTTTTCCAAATAAAGCCATCCAACCTATCTTCAGCTGTGATAGCATCAAGCCTTGCACGACTGGCTGCCTCTCCCCTCTCAACACTAAGAGCGTCACCACCAAGTAAAATAGGCATCATTTTACCATCTTTTGTTCTTGGTACATATTGCTGAAGATGCTCAACCACTTGTATCATCTGCTCTGTTATGTTTTCATCTTTTTCTAGTATACCTAAGGGAATCTGAAATGAAATTAGGTCAAATATGTAATAAAAGATGTGTTATCGATATATTACAAATTTAAAAGAAATGTCAGTAGTAAAAATCAAATTGAATTTAAAACACTGAAGCAGATATAAACAAGCATGTGTGAAATTAAATTACATATATATATTCATTTTAAGTTTGTTTTTTTTTCCGTATAATCATACATCATACCGTTAATAATTAATATCCTTTATTTTAATGCATACATATATATTTGTACTTTAATTACTTACAACATTACTCTTTTTGGCTGACAACTCTGAATATGGGTGCTGTATGTGGAACTCAACTAAATCTTGGCTATCTTTAAGTGTAGGTACAAATTCAACTAATGCTCTTTTGATCAATATTCTGAAATTGGAATGCAAAGCTTCATAGTCTTCATGATTTGGTATAAAGGCTTCATTGTGAATAGACAAAATGTCTGCTTGGGGATGGAGAGCGTCTTTGGTGATGTCCGTAATTCTATGTTGAACTGCTATTGAATGGACAAGATTGTGAGTTTTGTTACTGGTTTCAAGTGTTTTATGTCTAGTCTTCTGTCGACAATTTAAGTTGTCCATAACTATTTCAAAGGAGGTGTTTCCAGAAATTGCTTCATCTGCAGTTGTAGTAAATGGTGAATCCATATCTGAAAAAAATTAGTTGTTTTATATTTTTCAACTCCATATTATTATAAATGACATGTCATAAAAATGACAATATAGATTCAATAGTTTATGTACCTTCTATGTCATTTGTCTGGAATTTTATTTAATGTCTTCTCTGTAATGTAATTAGTAATATAAAAATTTAGTCATATAGATATTTATCAATCACTGAAGAAGAAAAAACACTTGCCAATTCACTTACAGCTGTTAAGAATATATTGATAAAGATCAATTTGTAGAAATTCAAAATACATACAAAATAAACAGGTGGAAAAAATCCAAATATCATACCTGGACTAGTGTTGTCCTGGAGTATATAATTTCCTGGAGTTTTCTGTAAGGATGTATCCATTTGTACGTCGCTGTCAGAAGCTGCAGAGGTTGAAATTGGTTCGGCTATGTAGATAACTGGTGATTCCTCACTGCATGTAAATGGTGTACTTGGAGTCACTAGCTCGTTGTCTCTTTCAACTGTTTGTGCATAACAGTGATCACCTGCAAAGTGATAAAAAGTGTAATATGTTTAAAAAATCTAAAGTGAATGTCTGTAACTGACTTTAAAATACTTAGTCTTTTAGTCAAAAATTAATGCAAGCATGCGTTATTTACTATTGTGAATCACTGATTAGTGGCATAAATACAAGTAGATGTAAGAAGATGTGGTATGAGTGCCAATGAGACAACTCTCCATCCAAGTCAAAATTTATATAAGTAAACCATTATGGGTCACAGTACGGATCGATTTAATGCTCATTGCTAATCATTACATAAAAACATAGCAAAAATTTCTGAATAAACTTTTAACCCATCTTTTTTTATGGAAATACTGTTAACTTGCCAAACTTCTTTTAGCAAATTTAAATAACTGACAGATTGAAGTAAAAAAAAAAAAATCAGTACACATATGATTTCTATAACAATATGTAAAAATAATGAACATACTGAATTAAAAAGATACATCAATTTCAACAAAAATGTATCTCATGCTTCTTGTGACTTATTAGAAATTCAAAGTATTCATATTCATAATGACGAATGACTAGAAGCATTTTTAATGTTTGAATGCTTACTTGATGATATGTCTGTACTGCTAGTGTCCTGATTGTGTTGTTCAGAAACTGCCTTTGCCCAGTTCTTAACAGGGATATCAAAGGATTCACATATCTGATCTATCCGACTTAGTGTTGACTTGTAAGAGGTGGAAAAGCCTGCTCTGTTAAACGTACTGTACACCTATAGAAAACAACACAATATTTAGTTACATTAGATATTTAAAAAATTAAAACTGTTGAGTTAATTCATCCTAGATCCATTTTAACAAGAATGCATCTACATACATGTATATGAATATATTTGTTGGGAGTTTTTAAGTTGAATTACCAAGGGCAATAATGTAAAATGCAGCTGCTAGCTGTTAATATGATACTTTAAATGGTATGGGTTTGTCTCATTGTTGGAGGCTGTATGGTTACCTACCATTGCTCACATCCCCTTCATTTGAACTTTCAATGACAAGTGATATTGTTCATTGTTATGGGTAAATTAATCATACAACAAATTGAACATCTCCTTATTTCTATAACAAAACAATAATATACATGTACGTACATTTATATATAGGGTCTCACAATTGAAAGTAATTATTATAAATGTACAGTTGTCTCATTGGCAATCATACCACATCTTCTTTTTTATAATTACACCTTTAAATTTTTTCCAAACTTCATTCATGTATTATTATTATTGTACATGTATATAAATGAAACTGTTATTTAAATTTGGTCAAATGTTGAATATATAGATATATATTTAATATGTATACATGTATGATGTACACTAATAAAAAAAATAATTACCCTTGTCCTAACATGTCCTCTAAACATAAATACACTATTTATGGACTGGACAGCATTCATCTGATGGTTTCTGTTGAACAGTAAAATTGCCATACTGGAAACCACTCTTGGCGTTTCTTTTTTCTTTTTAAAGCTGCCAGCAACTATCTTAAGGATTTCAAGTGTTAGTGGACAGTTTCTTTCCAACTCTTTATTGGCTGACTTCCATGAAAATCGTGAAATGTTGCTTCCCCTGAAAGTTGATTCTTTGTTTTTACACAATGCCTGCACCTCTTGTGAAATATTCTTCATGACAGTATTGACAAGTTCTTTTTTTGCATCTTCTATCGTCAACAGATGATTTAGTGCAGTTTTGTATTGCTTTTGAACAATGGAACGACATGCTAATTTCCCGGGTCCTTTCAAGTCTGTTTTTCTTGAACTGCCCTTAAACTGTAAATGTACCTGAAATTGAAACACAAATATAAACATTGATTCATATATAAAATGTACACTACATTAATCAGAAACATGCGCAATCATAAATCTGTATGCATATGTGAAATCAATGAATCATGGAAGGGACATACATGTATAAACAAAATGTACATGTACAAAAATTGTTGAAGCTAGCCTGCATAGTGAATTCAATATAAAATGTACACTCATGTTAGTCTGTGTAATTTTTTGCATTCCATGCAATTGCCTCAAATTCATTCTTTCAAAGGGAAAATATATATATATTATATATAGATTACAGACATACTGTTCATTTTCATTTTTAACAACAGATTTTAACACACGTGTGCATTGTACAATACTAGTATATATATACATGGATGGAGAGTTGTCTCATTGGCACTCATACCACATCTTCTTATATCTATGGATTAACAAATACAATATTGGATTATTTTATTCAGGAGTCTTACCTTAACTTTAGGACCAGGTGACTGTGTAACTTGTGGTGTTGGTTTCTCATCTTGAGGTTTGCATGTAGATGTAAACTGGAGCCTCCTCCTATTCTTCTTTGGGGTCTTTGTTGATGCTTTTGTTTTTGCTTTTGGTGTACAACCAGACTTTGATGGAGTGAAAATATTTCGTTGCCTCTTCCTTGCTGTTGAACCTAAACATGCTAAAGCTGGGGTTAGAGATGGAAGTGGTGGTTCTGTATCTACATGTATCTGATCATCAGCATCACATTCTTCTCTACTGACCGACAAATTTGTTCTCAAATTGATAAAACTTGTTGATGTGGATGTTTTTAATTTTTCACATAAGTTTCTACATTTGTTTAAACTCACATAAGTGGCTTTCAAACTGTTAAAACACTGACTGCAAACGAAAAAACTTGTGTCATCATATCCGATTGCATTCCTGAGCTTCACCTCGTCTACTTCGTAACAGAAGGCTAATGTTTTAATGAGATCAACGTCTTTATGTTGTTTTCCTACACTTCTTCTTCGTTCCTCTTTAAGATTTTCTACATTGAAAACATGCGTACAATGTACACAACACGTGTCTGAATGCTCCATTGATCATGTTAGTAAATATTCTTTTCGCTCCGCCTTTTTTTTGCGCCAAATTTGATTAATTCTATACCCACAATTCATAGCGTTATTCAAACTTCCGGTTGAAGGATTTTATAGGTGAATGCATTCAGGCGTTAATGTAGCGATTGATAGTGAGTCGGAATATAACGACTGGATTAGTCGGGTTAGCCGCTACCATGTTTATCTATACTGGTTACATTCCCAAGTGATGTCTCTATGAGATGAAACACAGAGATCATCAATGGGAACCAGTACGTTAACAAATTAACATACCTATGAATATAAAATATCTCCCCAAAAGAGGCGTGGTTTGAGAAACAGCTGTATTTACAAAGTGCAACCTATAACAATCGTTATTTTGTATTCATCATTATCATTATTATTAGTATAAATATTATGATTAATGTATTTTCTATTCAGCCTTATGGACAGGGACCACCACCACAGTATGGACAGGGACCGCCTCCGCAGCATGGATACTATCCTCCACCGCAACAGCAACAGCAACAGTCAACCGTCGTAGTAACCGGCGGTCAGGCAGGACCTACAGTAGTTCAAGTACATAAAGAACGGTAAGATCCACGGAAGTAACAGGTGGTCAGGTAGGAGCTACAGTAGTACAAGTAGATAAAGAACGGTAAGATCCACGGAAGTAACAGGTGGTCAGGTAGGAGCTACAACCGTACACGTACATAAAGAACGGTAAGATCCACGGAAGTAACAGGTGGTCAAGCAGGACCTACAGTAGTACAAGTACATAAAGAACGGCAAGATCCACGGAAATAACAGGTGGTCAGGTAGGAGCTACAACCGTACACGTACATAAAGAACGGTAAGATCCACGGAAGTAACAGGTGGTCAGGTAGGAGCTACAGTAGTACAAGTAGATAAAGAACGGTAAGATCCACGGAAGTAACAGGTGGTCAAGCAGGACCTACAGTAGTACAAGTACATAAAGAACGGCAAGATCCACGGAAGTAACAGGTGGTCAGGTAGGAGCTACAGTAGTACAAGTAGATAAAGAACGGTAAGATCCACGGAAGTAACAGATGGTCAGGTAGGAGCTACAGTAGTACAAGTACATAAAGAACGGTAAGATCCACGGAAGTAACAGGTGGTCAGGTAGGAGCTACAGTAGTACAAGTACATAAAGAACGGTAAGATCCACGGAAGTAACAGATGGTCAGGTAGGAGCTACAGTAGTACAAGTACATAAAGAACGGCAAGATCCACGGAAGTAACAGGTGGTCAAGCAGGACCTACAGTAGTACAAGTACATAAAGAACGGCAAGATCCACGGAAATAACAGGTGGTCAGGTAGGAGCTACAACCGTACACGTACATAAAGAACGGTAAGATCCACGGAAGTAACAGGTGGTCAGGTAGGAGCTACAGTAGTACAAGTACATAAAGAACGGCAAGATCCACGGAAGTAACAGGTGGTCAAGCAGGACCTACAGTAGTACAAGTACATAAAGAACGGCAAGATCCACGGAAATAACAGGTGGTCAGGTAGGAGCTACAACCGTACACGTACATAAAGAACGGTAAGATCCACGGAAGTAACAGGTGGTCAGGTAGGAGCTACAGTAGTACAAGTAGATAAAGAACGGTAAGATCCACGGAAGTAACAGTGGTCAGGTAGGAGCTACAGTAGTACAAGTAGATAAAGAACGGTAAGATCCACGGAAGTAACAGGTGGTCAGGTAGGAGCTACAGTAGTACAAGTACATAAAGAACGGTAAGATCCACGGAAGTAACAGGTGGTCAGGTAGGAGCTACAACCGTACACGTACATAAAGAACGGCAAGATCTATGATACATGTAGAAACAGGTTATCAGGTAGGACCTACAGTAGTACAACAACATAAAGAACGGTAAACAGATGACCAGGTAGAACCTACAGTAGTACAAGTATTTGAAGAACGGACAGATCCATGATAGTAATACATGGCCAGGCAGGACCTACAGTAATACAAGTACATAAAGAACAGTAAAATCCATGACAGTAACAGAGTGCCAGGCAGGGCCTACTGTAGTACAATTACATAAAGAACGGTCAGATCCATGATCCTTGACAGTAACAGATGACCAGGTAGGACCTACAGGAGTACAAGTATATAAAGAACGGTACGATTCATGATAGAAACAGGTGGTCAGATAGGACCTTCAGTAGTACAAGTATATAAAGAACGGTATGATTCATGATAGAAACAGGTGGTCAGATAGAACCTTCAGTAGTACAAGTATATACAGAACGGTAAGATTCATGTTAGAAACAGGTGGTCAGAGAGGACCTTCAGTAGTACAAGTATATAAAGAACGGTACGATTCATGATAGAAACAGGTGGTCAGATAGGACCTTCAGTAGTACAAGTATATAAAGAACAGTAAAATCCTTGACAGTAACAGATGGCCAGGCAGGGCCTACTGTAGTACAATTACATAAAGAACGGTCAGATCCATGACCCCTGACAGTAACAGATGACCAGGTAGGACCTACAGTAGTACAAGTATATAAAGAACGGTACGATTCATGATAGAAACAGGTGGTCAGATAGGACCTTCAGTAGTACATTAACATAAAGAACGGTAAGATCCATGATAATTGATAGTAACAGATTGTCAGGCAGAAACTACAGTATGACAAGTACATTAAGAACGGTCAGATCCATTGCAGTAACAGATGGTCAAGCAAGACCTACAGTAGTACAAGTACATAAAGAACGGTAAGATCCATGATAGCAACAGATGACCAGGCAGAACCTACAGTAGCACAAGTACATAAAAAACGGTAAGATCCATGATAGTAACAGATGGCCAGGCAGGACCTACAGTAGTCCAAATACATCAAGAACGGTACGATCCATGATGGTAACAGATGGCCAGGCAGGACCTACAGTAGTACAAGTACATCAAGAACGGTACGATCCATGATGGTAACAAGTGACCAGGCAGGGCCTACAGTAGTACAAGTACATAAAGAACGGTAAGATCCATGATAGCAACAGATGACCAGGAAGGACCTACAGTGTTACAGGTTCATAAAGAACGGTAAGATCCATGATAGTAACAGATGGCCAGGCAGGGCCTACAGTAGTACAAGTATATAAAGAACGGTAAGATCCATGATGGTAACAAGTGACCAGGCAGGGCCTACAGTAGTACAAGTATATCAAGAACGGTAAGATCCATGATGGTAACAGATGGCCAGACAGGACCTACAGTAGTACAAATACATCAAGAACGGTAAGAGCAATGATGTTAACAAGTGGCATGGCAGGGCCTTTAGTTGTACATGCGCAAAGTGACAGAGTATTGTAATTTGTTGGTATGACACCCAAAATAATATGAAAATATTATACTTAGTAAATATAAAAAAGAAGATGTGGTATGAGCGCCAATGAGACATATCACCACAAGAGACCATATGACACAGAAATTAACAGCTATAGGTCACCGTACGGCCTTCAACAATGAGCAAAGCCCATACCGCATAGTCAGCTTTAAAAGGCCCCGAAATCACAAATGTAAAACAATTCAATTGAGAAAACTAACGGCCTAATTAATATACAAAAAAATGAACGAAAAACAAATATGTAACACAGCAACAAACGACAACCACTGAATTACAGGCTCCTGACTTGAGACAGGCACATGCATATAGAATGTGGCGGGGTTAAACATGTTAGCGGGATCCCAACCCTCCCCCTAACCTAGGATAGTGGCGTAACAGTACAACACAAGAACGAACTATAACAATGAGTTGAAAAAGGCTTAATTCATCAGATGGATACAAATAGAAATACATATAACAATAACACGTGGACGTGACCGGGTACTTGTACATCCCAACAACAAAAAGACACAAAGTACAAATCTGAGAGTACTCGCAGTTACTGACAGCTAGTTCAAAGCCAATAACATCTAATATAAAAAATCATGCATCTAAGACTAAATTATCAATCAGTACACATCCAACATACAATGGATTTAGTGTAAAGACGTCATAAACAGTCAGAGAAAAACATGATCTTGTGCAATACCAAGATACAGGAGCCGACAGATTGTAGATCCATGAAAGTGCATATGTATATAACAATAATATTTAGTTTGAATTTAAGTAACTGATAACAAAATCAATATTAATACCAATAAAAACTATATTCAAAGAAGGCTTTTCTACATCGTGAATAGATAGCCTTAGCTGTATTTGGCAAAACTTTCAGGAATTTTGGGTCCTCAATGCTCTTCAACTTCGTACTTTATTTGGTCTTTTTAACTTTTATTTATTCGAGCGTCACTGAGGAGTCTTTTGTAGACGATACGAACGTCTGGCGTACAAAATTTCAATCCTGGTATCTATGATGACTTTATTTCTAATTACAGTGTTGAATTGGTAACCTTTTAGAATAAGTTGATTTAAAGGATCGATAAGTTTACCAGGATCGTTTCTAAATTTCCGGGCACGGTAAACAACATCTTCGTAAAAATGAGGATGTGCTATCCCGTTTGAAATAAGTTTTCTACAGGTACAACCGAACTTCAAAACCAAATCTTTATATCTGTGGAAGAATTTAGTAAAAGTTTTAAGTAATTTGTGGTAACGAAATCCCTGACTTAATAATTTACCAGTAATACATAGATTACGTTCATTAAAGTCTAAAACGTCACAACAGACACGGGCATAGCGAACGAGTTGTGAAATATAAACACCGTAAGATGGTGCCAAAGGAACATCACCATCCAAAAAAGGAAAATTAACAATAGGGAACGAAACATCGTCTCTTTTGTCGTAAATTTTAGTGTGGAGTTTCCCGTGTAAAACTGAAATATCTAAATCTAGGAAAGGACAGTTATTAGCGTTTACATTTGATTTATTTAAAGTAAGTTCCTTTGGGTAAATTTTGGCAGTATATTTAGAAAATTCTTGATTATTTAACGAAAAAAATATCATCAAGATAACGGTTAGTGTTGTTGAATTTATCAATTAAATGCAATTTTGACGGGTCGTTACTGAGTTTGGTCATAAACTGTGGTCATAACAGTACAAAAACAAGTCTGCAATTAAAGGGGCGCAATTAGTGCCAATAGGAATACATACAATCTGTCAATAAACTTTGTTGCCGAAACGTACATAAATATTATCAAGGAGAAAATTAACAACTTCAATCATCTCATCACACCTCCAGTAAGTATATCTAGCATATTTACCTTTCTCATTAGAGAAGAAGGCTTTAAACGAGTTGCAGCAAATATATTTGCATTTGGATTTACCAAACGACCATTTAATTAAATAGGAAAACTTTTGTTTGATAAGATTGTGTGGAAGTGTAGTGTAAAGAGTTGAAAAGTCAAAACTGTCAACAGAATCAAAAGGACCATCAAAAGCACATAATTTATCTAAAACATCCAAAGAATTTTTTACACTCCAAAAATAGTTAATTCCACTATATTCATATATTTTATTACAAAAATTTATGATAAGTTCTTTGATAGTAGTTAAGGAACTAGTTAAAAGCACTGAAAGATTAGTTGTAGAACACTTACTAGAAGCCGAGATGAAACGATATTTTACTGGTTTTTTGTGTAGTTTAGGTAACCAATACATAGTAGGGACCTTCAAATGTTCAGAAGATGCCTTAAGCTGTGATGTAGTTACGATATGTTTGTTTACTATATGACTCTCTGTGAAGCGCACGGACTTGAATGTAGATGAATTTAAAATTTCATTCTTAAGAACGTCCGTGAAGTATTTACGGCATACCACAACCACATTGTTGGCTGCTTTGTCGGCCTGTACAAACACAATAGCTTTGAAAGTTCTTGAAGTTTATTTCTTAAAATGGAAATAGGCGTATTGTGTACTCTTTTATTTATTTCTGAATTATTTTCAAAATGTGATATTCGAATATCCACAACATTCATACATTTATTTAAATAAGAATCAAGAGATTTTTTATCAGATTTTTCCTGTTTACGCCAATTTTTACAAAACGAGGAAAGAGCATCTTTTGTGACCTGACGACACTGTTTTCAATCTATTTTAGATGGAGGACGATATTTTGGTCCTTTTTTCAAATAGTTTTTAAATTCTCTGTCTTGGACGATATTGAGGTCCCCTGTAATAACATATTTCAACATTATCTATTTATTATTTTAGTATTTTGAATGGAAAACAGGACAAAAACAAATCCGAAAATCACCGTTCCTCTCTTTTCAAAGAACTTTCCTTATATATTCTGTATATTTAATAAATTGTTATCTGTCCATTTGGTCTTTTTATTTTACATAAAATTACTAGTATTCATTTACTTCCACTAAAATATCTTGAGATTTAAAACTAACATACATTTTTAATATAAAGTTGAATTATTGTGGTATTTTCTTTGAATTTCAGATGTGCTGACAAAATCTGTCTGAATATCTGCCTCACTATCTTCTGTCCATTTTGGTTGTTTATTTGGTTATGTTTGGTAGGTAGAAATAAACATATTACTTTCATTGTGGGATTTCGTATACAATTATCAAAAATTATTATTAAAAATCCGTATTTAGTTCATTGTGGAATTTTTAATTATCTGTCTTTGAACATAATTGAATCCGATCGTCTGTATAATAATAAATTTTTCGTGTTACTTTTGAATAGGTAATTTAACACTTTAAACATCGAGGATAAATATACTGATATGTAAATATAGAACACTTACCCTGATTCTGGCTATCGGTACAGCAGATACAATAGGTTAACACAGATTAAAATCTTCTGTACACGATCGAATCGGAAACGCGACAGAATCTGCTGTACACGACAGCAAAACAATTGTTTCCAACAGCAGCGGGAACACAGATCCTATTGTATACGCCGTACCGATAGCCGTAGTAGTCTGTAACATGAGCAAAGTTTTTACAAAGTTTTGGGTACTGTATTTATTACCTACACTCCATGTTAATTGGATCACTTTCTTTTGTTTTGTTTGCTATTTGCAACGTTCATCTTTACTAGGATTTTTATATTGAAGATAACTTATATATAAATATGGAGAAAAGTTAATATTAAGTATAAATAAATGAAACAGCAACCCAATGATTCAAAAAGACTAATATGAAAGTCATCTAGTCAATATTCTGTCTTCAACAATAGAGAGGTTTCTATACAATTAATGTATATCAACCTATAAATCGTCTAGAGTGTAAAAAGGTTGGGAATAAATGTGGTCGAGACCACCAAAGTAAAAAGATTGGGAATAAATGTGATAGAGACCACCAAAGTAAAAAGATTGGGAATAAATGTGATAGAGACCATCAAAGTAAAAAGGTTGGGAATAAATGTGGTCGAGACCACCAAAGTTAAAAGATTGGGAATAAATGTGATAGAGACCACCAAAGTAAAAAGGTTGGGAATAAATGTGATAGAGACCATCAAAGTAAAAAGGTTGGGAATAAATGTGGTCGAGACCTCCAAAGTAAAAAGATTGGGAATAAATGTGATAGAGACCACCAAAGTAAAAAGATTGGGAATAAATGTGATAGAGACCATCAAAGTAAAAAGGTTGGGAATAAATGTGGTCGAGACCACCAAAGTAAAAACGTTAGGAATAAATGTGGTCGAGACCACCAAAGTAAAAAGATTGGGAATAAATGTGATAGAGACCACCAAAGTAAAAAGGTTAGGAATAAATGTGGTCGAGACCACCAAAGTAAAAAGATTGGGAATAAATGTGATAGAGACCACCAAAGTAAAAAGGTTAGGAATAAATGTGGTCGAGACCACCAAAGTAAAAAGATTGGGAATAAATGTGATAGAGACCACCAAAGTAAAAAGGTTAGGAATAAATGTGATAGAGACCATCAAAGTAAAAAGGTTAGGAATAAATGTGATAGAGACCACCAAAGTAAAAAGGTTTGGAATAAATATGATAGAGACCATCAAAGTAAAAAGGTTTGGAATAAATATGATAGAGACCATCAAAGTAAAAAGGTTAGGAATAAATGTGGTCGAGACCACCAAAGTAAAAAGATTGGGAATAAATGTGATAGAGACCACCAAAGTAAAAATATTGGGAATAAATGCGATAGAGACCATCAAAGTAAAAAGGTTTGGACTAAATGTGATAGAGACCACCAAAGTAAAAAGGTTTGGAATAAATATCATAGAAACCATCAAAGTAAAAAGGTTTGGAATAAATATGATAGAGACCATCAAAGTAAAAAGGTTAGGAATAAATGTGATAGAGACCAGCAAAGTAAAAAAAGTTGGGAATAAATGTGATAGAGACCACCAAAGTTAAAAGGTTAGGAATAAATATGATAGAGACCACCAAAGTAAAAACGGTTGGGAATAAATGTGATAAAGACTACCAAAGTAAAAAAAGTTGGGAATAAATGTGATAGAGACCACCAAAGTAAAAGAGTTGGGAATAACTGTGATAGAGACCTCCAAAGTAAAAAAGTTTGGAATAAATGTGATAGAGACCACCAAAGTAAAAAGGTGAGGAATAAATGTGATAGAGACCACCAAAGTTAAAAGGTTAGGAATAATTTTGATAGAGTCCACCAAAGTAAAAAGTTTAGGATAAGGTGTGATAGAGTCCACCAAAGTAAACCGTTTAGGAAATTAGTTACTGGAGATGAAAGTGGCTATTGTATAGAACAAAAAATAATTTATATCATATTAAGTATATAATTATATAATTTTTATTTTCAGTGCTGTTGTGAGAAATGATTGGTGGACAATGAACATATTAGCCTAAACTCTTTATTTTATGTTTTTCTTCTCTGCTCTGTTAAGTATGATCATGTTACAAACATGAAAATGTTATTAATGCTCATACAATATGTTTGAAATCTATTTTTTGTATCTTATGTATATATAAATTAATTGAAATATGTGGTAGCAACCCAACGACACAAACAATCAAAAGATCTCAGTAAAATATGTGAATGTATGTACACACAAGCCTTATAATCAACAAAACATTGTTATATTTTAAATATCCACCCTTTTTTAAGTAAAGGCAGAGTTGTTGCCCACTGCAGCAGTTCCAATCATTAATATAATTTATTCAATTTGAAATACATTTTTGATAACCATAGTGTGTCTAGTAAAGCTCCAATCATCAGTGCATAGTGCCGTCTTTCAGCAATTTGATCTTATGTTAGGACAAATTATGATCAATACATCTAAAGACTTCTTGGTTAAATAATACTACATGAACATGACATATTACAAAGGGAAATAACCAAAGTTTTTTATCTCAAATTTTGTTAATGAAAGTTAAAATTTTATTGTTATTTCCTGCTACAGTATATGCTGCATACTACTATGTTCCGTACTTGATGCACTGTCATGATTGTAATCTTGTTCTAAAGGAGCCCCCTTTTTTGTTTAATAAAAATATTGTATTGTATTGTATATCGATGCCTATTAAGCTTCTCTTAAGGCTCTTATACGAGGGAATACTAATATATTGGCAAATTATATGTCTTTCAATTCGATACTATCCATCTTTTTCGCAAAATATACTTTTTCAGTATTGTTGCACGAAACATTTATTTATATGTAAGAACAAAATCATAACATAGCTTCTGTGCTAAAAATAAACAAAAACGATCTGAGATGATTAGCATAAAATAACAAATCAACAGTTTACAAGTATGAATTGCAAAAAAATACGATACTGCTAATTCTGTTAGCATGACACATGTTGTGGCAACATCTATCATCTGGTTTCATCTTTGGTTATAGTTTGGTAATAAAGTGATGAAAAGAAGTATGATCAAAATGGGTTAAATCCCCTGAATGTATTTCCCACAATCGTCATTTTCTAAAAGTGCTGCAAGCTTTATTAAAATTTACAGGATGTAGTCTTATAGGTTGTAACACAGTTATGTCATTAAGTAAAAAAGTTATGTCATAAAGTAAGCTATGCATATTCCTTCAAACACATTTTTTTGGTTAAATACTTTTTCGATACAAAATTTTAAAATTCATGTAAAATTTGCAATATTTGATCAATATTGTCTTCACTAGCAATGTTTAGCAATATGTTTTTACTTCAAGAACAAGATTGTTGCGAAATCATGCCAGTACATGTACAAATATTCAGACTCTTTAATATCAAAATTCCACCAGTTTTACTTAAATTTTGCTCAGAAAAAGGTCATGTCCCCCTCTCAGGAGAGTTTTTGAACAGTCAAAGAAGGATTCTAATGATTTAGATGAAATGCTATTCATCGTGGCTATTAAAATATCTGAGAAGCAAAATATGTTTACACAAAAAAAATCATTCAAGAAGCTTGAACGTTTTATACCATACCTGCCTTTAAAATAATCGTAAAACACACACGCACACACACATACTCTTCTCTCAGCGGGGATCGAACCCTTGCTTCTGTGAGATCGTGGCAACACCGCCTGCACCGTGTCCAGCTTTCTACACCACTCGACCACCTAGGCTCTATAAAAATATAGCTTTCGCTGGTTGTGTAATGCCTTTCCTCGTCGACTTTATCTAGGGTTGTAACAGAGTACATGATGTATCGTGGCAAGTAGATGGTGTACCTTTCAGATCAGCTATTTTGTCTGTCGTAAAGGATGATAATGTTACTTACCGTGCTGCCACATCAAATTTTAATTTTATCATACACGTCTTAACAAATTACAACTTTATGACAGACATTCTCCATCGGATAACACATGGTTATACAGGGCCAACACAATACTATATAAATAATTCGTCTCAAATTTAGCCCAAAAATGTTAGATCTTCAAATTTGCGTTAGCATATTTGTTCTTCCCTCAGCGGGTCACATGTTCAGACGTGTATAATAAAATTAAAATTTGATGTGTCGGTTATTTATGTTGTTTACTCTTATAGAACAAGATTCTACGGAAGCGTATTAGCGCCACACATTTTTTTTATATTTCTTCCTATGTTTGCGTTGTAACGCAAATCTTTGCGAAATAACGCAAACATCTTATTTTTTATTTAAATTTCAAGGGAAGCAGCTGTTATCAATGGAGGAGGCTGCATGTATTAAATTTTATCACTCTTTGCACTTATTGCAAAGTAAAATGCTGGAGTGTTTAGCACATATCATGACATAATAATGAGCAGGACAATATTACACCGAAGAAAATAAAACTGAAATTTAAAACCCTATAATTTTTAATCAACGAATCTTTATCATATTCTGAGATTTCAACAAACGATTTCTTACATCAAAATTGTTTTAAAAATATTCTAAATACTAGTAATTAAGTCTCCCAAACTTCGTTTGGGAAGACTTATTGGTTTTGCTCAGTTATTATTATTATGTCACCCTGACGGAGGTCAGGTGACATATTGTTATTGTTCGATTCTTTTTTTTATTATTCTTATTCCACACTTTTTGTCCAGCTTAGTTCTCGGAATTGAATGGACCAATTGTGATGGAACTATACCATAATATTAACCACCATGTGTAGTTCTGCACCTGACTTTGGAATAAAAAAAATGGCTGCCATTGCCATGGAAACAGCAAAAATGTGAAAAATAGAAATGTGTTCCAATTTATATGAAACTTCTATGATATTAAGAGACTCATGCACACTTCAACATGGAACATTTTTATTTCAACTGGGGGGTCTCCTTGGCATAATTTGAGGGGGGTGAATTTTTCATGGAACATTCCAGAACATTAGTGTTAAAATAGGTCTACAGACATTAAATGTAATATGATGGTATATTATTATGGGGAAAACAATATGCAGCAGTAGTTTGACTTTGGAATTTTTAAAATGGCGGCCGTTACCATGGAAACAGCAAAAATACAAAAAATATCAAAATGCTCCAAATTCATTGGAATTTAAAACATAGATCTGTTGTCATGCATAAATCTGCATTCACTGATGGAAAATTTCGAAATGGCTGCTGTTTAGTGGCAATTGGCAGACCAGGGTGACATCCGCTATTGCTTGCAATGGCAATTCTAGTTATTAAGTCGCCAAAACGGAGTTTTGGGGACTTTATGTTTTTGTCCCGTTTCTTATTATTATTATTATTATTATTTTTATTATTATTCTTAACCCTAATTTGTCCAACCATTTTCTTCCAAGCCTTAAATGATGGAAACTTTATATTTGGTATGATGATGCGGTAGTATTCCTAGGGGTGCATTCGGGGTCAACTTGGCACTATTTGGGGGTCGGGACATGGGTGGGGTCATTTTTCGACTATTGATTCGCTACTGGTAGAACCTTTAAGTTTTGTGTAATACAAGAGACCGATGTCCAGGTGTCCATTTCCACATTTTTTATTTCAGCCCGGGGTCATTTTGGCATTATTTTAGGGGGTCAATTTTCATGGAACATTCTAGAACAATGGTCATGTGATTAGTCATGTGATAGTGTTGAATTATTCCTATGTACTTTTTATGTTATATAATGATAGATTATTACAAGTAGCACCATATGTAGCTGTAATTCGACTTTGGAATTTTTAAAATGGCCGCCGTTACCATGGAAACTGCAAAAATGTGATTTTTTTTTAAAATGCTTCAAATTTAATGAAATTTTACAGAGATGTTAACGAGTGTATGTAGATTTGGAATTTGACTTTGGAATTTCCAAAATGGCCGCCGTTGCCATGGAAACAACAAAAATTCGTAAAATCTAGATTTGGTCCAATCTTTATGAAACTTGACAGTAATGTGACCTGTCATGTGTAGATGTGCCATCCGACTTTGGAATTTTCAAAATGGCTGCCGTTACCATGGAAACTGCAAAAATGTCAAAAAATTCAAAATGCTTCAAATTTAATGAAACTTTACACATATGTTGACTGTCTTATGTAGATGTGGCATTTGACTTTGGAATTTCCAAAATGGCCACCGTAACCATGGAAACACGAATGCCTAAATTTGAAAATTGGTCCAATTTTTATGAAACTTGTAAGTAATGTGACCTGTCACGTGTAGATGTGATATCCGACTTTGAAATTTCAAAATGGCTGCCGTTACCATGGAAACATGAGAACAATGGTTGGGGGCCGTTTTGGCGACATTTGTGTTAGCATCCTAACACAGGATTACTTGTTATTCTTCTTCTTCTTCTTCTTCTTCTTCTTCTTCTTCTTCTTCTTCTTCTTCTTCTTCTTCTTCTTCTTCTTCTTCTTCTTCTTCTTCTTCTTCTTCTTCTTCTTCTTCTTCTTCTTTTTCCTCTTCCGCCGCTTTTAAATTTGAACTTGTCCGCACCCGTTCTCCAAAACCACTTGTCAGATTAACTTAGGGTTTCACAATATGTTAGACTAACATGTCTAGTGGTGCAATCAGGATTTTGCTTGTGCAATGGGGTTTATAAAGGGGTACTTTGAGGGGCAAAAAGAAAGGAGGGTTTTACTATAGAACCTTATGGGATTTTATTTTTTAAAATTTTCAAGTGATTATAAATTGAAAACCGTTTGTGATAGACACAATCTTTTTAATTGAAAATGTTCTAAATGATAAAGCACATTAAATGAAATACAGGGTTAGTCCCCAGGGGTCACCCCCTACCCCTGCCATTTAAGAAAGTTGTAATATCTTGTAAATGGTCGAGATCCCCACCCCTTAACCATATATATTCTGGTTTGTCATGCTAAGATGGTTTGAATGATATACAGGGTTAGTCCCCAGGAATCATCCCGACCCCCTGCCATTTGAGAAAGTTCTAATATATTGTAAATGGTCGAGATCCCCACCCCTAAACCATAATTTCTGGTTTGTCATGATAAAGCACATCAAATGAAATACAGGGTTAGTCCCCAGGGGTCACCCCACCCCCTGCCATTTAAGAAAGTTCTAATATCTTGTAAGTGGTCAAGATCCCCACCCATAAACTATATATATTCTGGTTTGTCATGCTATGATAGTTTGAATGATATACAGGGTTAGTCCCCAGGGGTCATCCCGACCCCCTGCCATTTGAGAAAGTTCTAATATCTTGTAAATGGTCGAGATCCCCATCCCTAAACCATATATATTCTGGTTTGTCATGATAAAGCACATCAAATGAAATACAGGGTTAGTCCCCAGGGGTCACCCCACCCCCTGCCATTTAAGAAAGTTCTAAT